AGCAGTCTAAACCAAGTTCAGATTCTATGGCTACCTCATATGCTGCCTCACCTTCCAGAGATAAACTAATGGTAGTTAGAGGAGTGCTAATGATCTCATTTTTAATAAGGTCAATCTTATTTAAGAGCAGGTGGGATGGACGGTTCAACAGAACTATGGCTCTGGGTGAGTTTGGCAATGGTATTAAAAAGATATCTAGGATTATTCTTATTCTCCTCTATTAATGAGGAGAAAAATGCTGCTCTTGCTTTATGAAGGGTCGTCTTATACAGCAATAAACTATGTTTTCCATACTAGGAAAGATTCCCGCAGGCCTGTGGAGCACGATTTTCTCTCCAGTTTCTAAGCATTTTGCTTCAAAGTGCACAGCTCTGCATTAAACCAAGGAGGCAGCTTTCTGTTTTTAAAGTTTTTGTTTTTCAAAGGGGCTGCATTGTCTCAGGCAGTAAGCAGAGAACTAGCAACCACATCAACAAAATCAGCAACCTGTGAAGGGGAGTAAAACTAAGCTTTTGCACTCTGCAGCACTGCTCAGTGACACAGAGGAGAGAGAAAGTGAAACAGATCCTTTAAATTTTATAACTGCACTCTTTGATAGTGATCTGCTAAAGTGAAAACCCTGAGTGAGAAGTGAGAACTCTGTTAAATAATCAACAGGGAGCCAGCTTTCTATTTTTATAGAAGAAACAACTTCCATAGCTCAAGCTTGGTTCTCTTCCATCCGCAGGAGAAAAGAGACCCCCTAACTTGGTTTTCACCCCCTTATATACTAAATCCACACCCCCTTAGGCTCCATAAGTCACGCCCAAAGTGAAGGATTGCAGTTTGTCATTGTCCATATAAGGTAACCGAAATACACATAGCAGCACACATTTAACAGTATACAGCTCAGATTCCTAATCTATCTCTAATCCTGCAGTATTATTTCCAAGAGGAACTTTTCCTGTACCAGACTGATTACCCGAGTATTTGGTCACAGAAACCTTATTTGGTTTAGTTAAGGCCTCTTTTAACTTAAGCAAATGAGAAATATGTTTTAGTGCTTTACCTGTTAAGTGAGAAAGTCAGCTCTAATCCAATGTGTCAAATCAACATGAACAGCTTTGATCGCATAAGCAGAATAAGTATAAATGTTGCTCTGGCCTTCATAAAGCTAACAGGCTCCAGTGACAGCAAATATCTCGGACAACTGTGCAGAGGCAGGAGAAGGCACGACCTCCTCTTAAATAAAAAAGTATTTGGTAAAATAAAATCATTTGATAAGCCATAAATCAATAACCTTTTAGTTAATTGATTCTTAAACTTCTGTGATTGCTCGTTAGGGAATAGTCAAAGGTCAAGCCCACCTACCTTTTTTAGTCTTGGATTATGAAACAAGGGTTAGGGTTAGTAGTCACATTTTATCAGCTAATGATGAAACACAGAGGTGTTAACTTATTAGTATATTAGTGTTTAAACATTTATTGAAATAATTTTTGTTTCTCTTTAAAAACAGTAGCTCAAGACATGTGTGCAACAATTGGCTTCTTGTTAGCTTGGTTTACACATTAGTAATCACATGAAATGATAATAAATCATCAAAAGCCAAATTTATTTAGTTGGAAACTCTTTCCCTCACTTTGCCAGATCTCCATTTTGGAAAGGTTAGGGCCCAGTCCCATTGCTCTTACTTGGTTCTGAGAACACTCCAGCGAGTTCCCTCGACAATGAAGAACACTGAATGAGGGAAGTGCAAGTGATGATTTTCTCACTTAGAAATGGGACACCACTAGTTGTAAAATTACATTCAAGCCCAGTAGATGGCGGTAATAAATAGCTTGTACACTTCTGTGATTTGTTCACCTATGTCATGCGTAAACACAACCTGACTCTCAACCTTCTGCATGGAAATTCTGTCTTACTCATAACTTTTCACTAAACAAATGCATAATATTGAACAACAAATTAATTACAAAATGTTAAAAGTTCATTTATGAGCCAGCACAGATTAATAAGGGTATCACAAAAATCTCTAAATTAAAAGACAATCATGGTAATATAAATAGCTTTTTGATGAAGTATCATTTTCCAATAAGATACAAGAAATGCAAATCAATTATACTGTGCATCCCCAATGGACTCTAACAGCTATTAAAATCATCACAATTTACTCCAACTTTCACCACCAAATAGTTTCTCAATGGACTGTATTTTCTTGGCACCAAATACAATAACAAACACATACGCAACAACTGTCAACAATCCAAATGCCTCCAACCAAGAGGCAAATTCTACTGGAACTCCATTTTTAATTGAATAGACTG